ATTTCATAAAACATAGGAAAACACTGAAACTTGGAGAGATTGTATGCAAATTAATGACCAAGTTCTGATTAAATCCTGTTATATTATATTATTCCCATAGTGTGTCCCTTCAACTGTGCAATGTACTTTTCACCATGTCTGCTGTAGTCCATAGTCCGAAGCTCCATCTTTATTTTATCAAGGAAATGGGAGAACCAGATTGATACGTGCTCAGGAGCAGACACATCTGAATCCAGAATGTTCATATACAAGAGTTGCTCACTTTCTTCCACAGTCCCCTGAAAACTGCTTTGTTCTCTTAAGCAACTTAGTTTGTTCCTGATTTCGTTTCTAGATATAGGTAGTTCACATGGATAAACAGTTCAATGCTTGACTCTTAAATTAAACACAATACACATGAAAATTGACCATAAAAACATTGCTTTACTTTGAAGGAGATATAAATGATTGCACGAATTTCGAGCAGCCTGTGATGAGTCCTTTAAAAATACAAATATTTTAGCTGGTAGATTTTTATTTTTGAGATAGGAATTTATAAAGCCCAGACTAGGATCAAACTCTCTATGTAGCCTAACATGACGTTGAATTTCTGATCGTCTGGCCTTCACCTCCTCATTGCTGGGATTAAAGGCATGTATCACCATGCCCAGTTTTATAAAACTGCAAGGACTGGACCCAAGACGTCATGCACCTTAGGCAAATACTCTACAGATTAATCTACATCCCCAGCCCTTCACTAGATTTTTGAAAGTGTCTTGGGCCTCATTATGAATGCCTGTGATTGCAGCTCTTTAGAAAGCTGCATGCAGCAAGAAGATCACAAACTCAAACACTACCTGGACTACAGTGTAAGTTCAAAGCTGGCCTGGGTAACTTCATGAGATCATGTCTCAGAATACATTAATAACTCAATGATGGAAGTACTTATGTAGCAAACATTGAGTCCAAAAAATCCCTCCTCATTATAATATACACACACTAAAATTCATACAGTTTAGCAGCGGCCAGTGAAATGGCTCACCAGGTAAAGGCACTTTCTGCCAAGCCAACAACAACTTGAATTTGATTCCCAGAATCCACATGGTGCAAGGAGAGATACTACTTCCCTAAGGTATCCTGACCTCTGCCAAGATACAAATGCTCAGGTATACATAAACACAGAGAAATAGCCTTTCAAATGTAAAAATCAGTAAAAAATAGTAATCAGCTTTTAAGAGCATTTGTCAGTAGAACTTGGGGTTGAGTTAGAGCTCATACTTGGTATGTATAAATCCCTGGTTCAGTTTTAACCAATGCAAAATCAATAAGGATATATATATATATATATATATATATATATATATATATATACTGTATTACAACTAAACACAGAATTTCATAAGCTTTTGCACAAAGTATACCACTTTTGCTGGTGGTAAAGCACTTGCTTAGGAAGTAGACCTGGTTTAACACCCTGTTACCAACAAAAAAGACAAAAATACTCATCAACTTCCAATTGATTGGTGAAGTGGTCTTAGATAAGATAGTTAAATTTTTTGCTAGGTGTGGTAGTGGCATGTACCTATAATCCCGGCACTTGGGGAGGCCGAGAACAGAGCATCACTGTAAGTACAAGGCTAAATAAAATGATAATGGTGAAACCCTGTCTCAAACTCAAAGCTCCAAACAAGTGTGGACATAAAATAGTTAATATTTTAGTGGTGCCCAGAATTAACTGCTATGAATCACACTTCATTGACACTGTGGTAAAAATTCAAAATATGTACTGCAACCTAGAAGAATGCGCATAAGCCACTGACTGACCTTCTCTTTACCCTTTGCTCACTTTGCTAGAGGCATGCTAGATCTGCAGTGTTCCCAAAGAACACCGCATGCACATCTGCATTGCACACTGGTGGCTCTTTTCCCTGCCCTTACTCTAGATTTCTGCCTTTGCCTCACACAAATCTGTATTCAAATGGAAACTCCGCACAAAGGCCTTCCTTAACCATTCTGTCTAAACAGCAGCCTCCACAGTGTGATTATAATCCAGAGTTACTCAACTTCAGCGCTGTTTATATTTTGAGCTGCAGCATTGTGGTGTTGCCTAGTGGAGCAAGGGTGTCTTATGGGCTGTAGGAGATTTCATGGCATCCTTGGACTCTACCCACTGGATGCCAGGAGCATCATCTACCCATTCTGATGTGGCAATCAGGAATGTCTTCAATTTGAGCTGCATGTTGAGATGCGAGATTATAATCCCAGCTCATACAAGGCTGAGTGATGCACAAGTCATGGCAAATTCTAGACTAGCCAGGGCGCCATTGTAAGGCCCTGTTTTACAAACAATGCAAAATAGTCCAGACATTTCTGAATTTCTCAGCTGCAGGTGGTGACGAGGGCAGGGATAACTGCTGGTCTAATCCTCTTCTCTGCTTTAAATTTTCCCTCCCTAAGTAATATTCACATCGTTACATTGAGTTATGTCTTATAGCCATACTTGCAGCTCTATATGTGTATTCTGGTTAGAATGTGGATTCAAAAGTGCAACACATTCTGTGCCATCTTTGGTTCCAAGAACAATACTTAGCAGACATTTTTGTTATTCTTATTGTTTCTGAGATAGAGCTGTACCCCTGGCTGTCCTGAAACTCTGTAGACCAGGCTGGCTTTGAACTCACCGAGTTCTAGGATTAACACCACCCTCACCCTACCTTGGCAGAACCTTTAAGTAAATTCCCTAGCCATAAAACATTTCCATTAATAAAGGAGTAGAGTGATCATCTTGGGCCATTTTCTTATTTGCAGATTACTTCTTCCTTTAGATTTAAATTTATCACCTTCCTATCTCTGGTAAAAGTGAAAATTTATTCACACACATATGCATACATACATGTATACATAATGCCTGCTTTTTCAAAAGCCAGCTTATAGTCATTCGTTGGTGATTTTGCCCCAACTTTCATACTTTTGAATAATCATTATTCATTTGTGCATTTGTATGTTCTATTAAAACTATAATAGCACCAAAATAAAAATGATTTATAGAATCATTTTAAACATCTGCTTTATTCAGGACTTTCTTTATTCTTGTAAACTCTCTATTGTCTTAGATTAACATTTGTTTACATTAACTGAAAAAAAATGGCCCTGAAAGCAATTGCTTCATATTAGATGTGCTTTGAGATAGAACCAGTGCGATGCCTTAAAAACATGTTTTGCAAAAAGAAAAATAGAGCTGGAGAGATGGTTCATCAGCTAAGAACACTGATTGCTCTTCCAGACGGCCTGGGTTCAATTCCCAGCATCCACATAGCAGCTCACAACTGTCTGCAACTCCAAAATCTGACACCTTCACACAAACATGCAGGCAAAACACCAATGCACATAAAATAAAAACAAATAATTTTTAATAAAGAAAAATAAGGATAAAACTCTGTAGTGAGAGAGATATTCACTTTGTCCACACCTGTGGCACTGACCACGCCCAGAGAAGCAGACCTTCTGGGGGAACTAGGTCTGGAGAAGGGGCCCCAGATCGCTTTCTTGCCTGCTGTATGGGGACAGAGAGCATCTGAATGCATCCTTGGGACCAGGAACCTGCTGGTGTTCATCTGTCTATGTTGTAAGTTATTTCTCCCTGAATAAACACCTATTCAGCCTATCTGTTTTCCCCAATCCTTATTAAAACCTCAATAAAACTCCCACATAGGTACAGTAGAAATTATGCTCTACCATGACAAAATTTTTCTGTTTTCTTTTGTGTTGTTTTTGGTTTTCGAGACAGAATTTCTCTGTATAGTTTGAAGCCTGTCCTGGAAGTCACTCTGTAGACCAGACTGGCCTCAAAATCACAGAGATCCACCTGCCTCTGACTCCCAAGTGCTGGAATTAAAGGCATGTGCCACCGCCAAGGCCACCACCACCGAGTGACTAAGTTTTGTTGGTACATAAGTATTATTTTAAAGACTCTTCTTGGTTCTATTATTTAATAACTATTAACCAGAAACTCTACTTTCTTATAATCAGAGATGCTTTGTTTTTATTTAATTCTTCTAAATTTCATTTTACATTCCAACCACAGTTTTCCCTCCCACCCCTCCACCTGCCCCCTCCCTGTTGCTTCCCCCCAAGCCCACCCCCAGTCCACTCCTCCTCAAGGGTAAGGACTCTCATGAGGAGTCAACAAAGTCTGACACAATAGGTTGGGACAGGGTCAGGCCCCTCTCCCATACATTAAGGATGAGCATGGCATCCCACCCTAAGGATTTGGCTCCAACAAGCTTGCTCATGGACCAGGTTTGTATCATGCTCCCACTGCCAGGGGCCCCTCTGATAGTTTAAGCTTCACAACTGTCTCCACATATGGAGGACATAGTTTGGTCCCCTGAAGTCTACCGCCATTGGTCTAGAGCTTGGTTCACCTGTCTCTGTAGATTTGTCCATTATGATCTTGACCTCCCTTGCCCATATGTTTCCTCCTCCCTTTCTTCCTTCGACTGGATTCCCAGAGTTCGACCTGGTGCTTGGTTGTTGTGCATCTTTGTGTCTGGTTCCATCAATTGCTGGATGAGTTAGGGTAGTGATCAATCTGATTACAGGGGTAGAACAGTTCAGGCACCCTTTCCATTATTGTTAGGGGTCTTAGCTGGGATCATTTTTGTGGATTCTTGGGAGTTACTCTAGCACCACGTGGCTCTCTCTGATAAGGTATCTCTTCCCTTGCTCTTCCACTGCACAGGGATTCTATTTTTTAAGTAAAGCTTTGTACACATTGTTTAAAATACAAGATACATGATATAAACAAAACATTGCCCTTTCAGTTAAAATATACATTTCCCCTTCCAAACATCCTTACATTCCAAATGATAAAAAAAGATTGTAATTAAGCATGCATGTGGAGTGATAATATTCTTTTTTATATAACAGTCTTACATATTTATTTCTAATCATTTTTCCTGTTGTATCTTTTTGTTTTTTTCTTTGTTTGATTTTTTTTCCTTCCTTTCCACAAAGATCTCAACAGCAATGGGTTCATTTGTGACTATGAACTTCATGAGCTTTTCAAGGAAGCTAATATGCCGCTGCCGGGATATAAAGTGAGAGAAATTATTCAAAAACTCATGCTGGATGGTGACAGAAACAAAGATGGGAAGATAAGTTTTAATGAATTTGTTTACGTAAGTATGGGGAAAGTCTGGGATTATTAGAAGTCATTGTTGATCCATTGTTTAGTGGGAATCTTAAAATATAAATACTATTGTATTGAATAGTTAAATATGTCATGTTAGTACTCCACTACCGAATAATAGTGCTGTCATTCTGCTCACTAAATTTAATTATTACAGCCACGAGGATACATAACAAAATATCAAGAAACGGTACATTGACAGAGACAAAGCTATAGCACAACACTCACAGTGGGCAGAAACAGTCTCCTTTAGGGGCATCAATAAGGGGATCTTTCAAGGCGCTAAATGACATCTTTGGAAGCATTCTTTCTCTCCCCCATAGAGCATGGTGTGCTTCACGAGTTTAATGATGTCATACTACTCAGTTTTAGAAGCTTTGTAAGCTGAACTTTCTGATTAGAAGATGTTTTCTAAGCCCTGTACTAGTAGTATTTAACTGAACCATTTTCTCCAGGGTGATCATTTTTGATAATTAAAAGCTAGAAACATGTTCTTTGAGTCTGTTGTAAGAGACATTTACAGTCTTTGTTTTCTGGTCTAATGTCATCAATTATTCCTCAAGGTTCTTGGCTGATTGTATAACTTCTCCCCTGTAAGCATTTTAGCTCCGTGCCTGCAGCATGGGTGACAGGCACGTGGTTCTTTATCAAGATCTAACTATTGTAGCTGCCTGCAATTAATATGGATTTTATTGACTTACAGATTTTCAGTCTAGATTTGTTAACAAATTATTGCAAGATGTCTTTTTTAAGAGCAGTTGCTTCTTCTCTCAGATAAGAATCACCTTAAGAGGGGACTAGAGAGACGGCTCAGCAGAGAGCATTGGCTGTTATTCCAGAGGTCCCTAGTTCAATTCCCAGCAACCAAAAGGTGGCTCACAAACATCTGTAATGAGATAGGGTTCCCTCTTCTGGTGTGCAAACCTACATGCAGACAGAACAAGGTATACATAATAAACAAATAAATCTTTAAGAAAAAAACAAAAAACAAAAGAACACCCTTAAGGGGATGGATGAATGGCTCTACAGTTAAGATTACTGGCTGCTTTTCTAGAGGACCTGGGTTCAACTCCCAGCACCAACATTGCAGCTCACAACTGTAATCCCAGTTCCACAGCATCCAACACTCCCTTCTGGCTTCTTCAGGCACTGCACATAAGTGGAGCACAAACAAACATGTATTATAAACATAAAATTAATTTAAAAAGAACACCCTAAGGGCAGACATGGCAGTGCATACCTTTAATCACAGCAGAGGTAGGTAGATCTCTGTGAGTTCAAGACCAGCTTGGGCTACATAGCAAATTCAAGGCCATCCATGGCTGTAATTGTAAAATGAGACCCTGTCTCAAAAAAGAAACATGGGTGTTTATGTTCTTATTTTTATTTGGGTTAGGGCTTGTTTTGTGTTTGTCTTTGAGTCAGTCTAACTTTAAAGTAATGAACATCCTGCCTTTGCCTCCAATGAGCTGAGGGAGAAAGGCATGTACTACCATGTCTGGTCCACCCTAGTAATATTTATTCATTTACTTGGTTGTTTGGTTGTGATTTTTGTGGTGAGGGATCAAGACAGGGTTTCTCTATAGCTTTGGAGCCTGTCCTGGTACTTGCTTTGTAGACCAGGCTAGCCTCAAACTCACAGAGATCCACCTGCCTTTGCCTCCCAAGTGCTGGAACTAACGGTGTGCACCACCACCGCCCTGCCATTTACTTGGCTTTTAAGACTACCTTTGGCTATGTAGCTCAGACTGGCATTCAATTTGTGATCCCTTGCCTCGGCATCCTAGTGCTGGATTTATACCATAATGCCTGAGTATTTGTTATTATTTGAAGACTGAGTTTGACTAGAACTTATTAGGCATTCTTTTCAATATACTCCAAACTACTAATTAGTGTTCAATACTTGTCATCAAGAACAAACCCACCTGTCCTTCTCTGTATTTTATCTTGGCACCAAGATAGCTGCAATTAGAACATATGCTCTCACGAGATACCATGACTCACTATGGCAAGTGAATTTCAGACATGTTCCGTCTGATTAGAACTAAAAGTATACACCATATGGTCAGAAACAAATGGACCACTTAATCAACAGTCAGTGTGGGGGGGTCGCTATTGTTTGAAAACTACAGACTCATGTCCTGATTATCATAAGTTCTTGCCATTTTCCTTTTGAAAGACTGATTTCCTCCCATCATTTCTGTCTCCAGTTCTGGCCAAAGTCTTTTGCTTTGAATTCTGTGTTCAATAGTAAGTTACAAATGATTTATGATTTGAGCACTTGCATGTCTCCTTATGTAACTTGCATGGGTCGCTGTGAATTTAAAGCTGGCCAAAGCAGTAGTGAACTACCATCAGTAGCTTTTGATACAACTTACAGCTGAGAATCTTCGTATCTACTAGAAAGAAGCAGCCTGAGCTATTAGGATTTGTAATCCAACTGGTAATGTTGAGGGCAAAATTATAAATGTGTCTATACAGAAAATGATCTTGGGAAAACTTTCAATTTTGTATATTCTGAAGTTCTGTAATTTCCACACAACTTTTAGTGGTTTTTAAGAAATAAGGTGAAGTTGTCTTCGTGTGTTCTTTAATAGTCGAGCATAATATTTTGGGCAACATTGGGGACTTTCTAGAATAAAATATTAAGGAGAACATTTTAGGTCAAAGTAATGTTTTGTTTGAAAGAGGATTGGTGTCTGTAGCCCCCGCTGTCCTGAAACTGATTATGTTGACCAAGCTAGCCTCGAGGTCACAGAGGTCTGCCTCCTTTGGCCTCAAATACTACAGTTAAGAGTATGACCACTCTGCCCTTCTTTCACTTTGGACAAGCATTTATGGGTTCCTGAAAAAAACAATGAGTTGACCAGCATTATCCAAAGGGCAGTAGCCTTTTCCAGTTAGTCCCTGCTAAGCAAAACACATGAAGTCGTGCCTAGAGACATGGCTCAGTAACACTGGCTGCTCTTCTAGAGGTTCTAGACATGGCAACTCACAAACATCTGTGACTAGTTCCAGGGGATCTGATGCCCTCTTTGGATCTCCAAGGACATCAAGGACATATGTGGTAAACAGACATACTTGCAGGCAAAACAGCCATACACATACAATAGAAACAGTTGAAAACTTGAGCTATGATGGTAAAGTAACCCACATAAAGAATCGGAATAGTGCTGTCATGACTGGTAGAAGAAAGGAGGGACATTGAAATGGCTGTCTTCTTTCATGTTCTTTGTCATTAATTTAACACCTTGCCAGTTGTCAAAGAAAACTGGACTATGACTTAACTACCTGAGATTCAGAGACTGCTATTCTTGTCAGCTCTTAGCTTAAGGAAAGAGAAATAAATGGATTCTCATATGCTAGGTTTGAAGGTTTTATGTGAATTGGAGTTTAAAGGAGTATTCAGTATAAACTAGGTGCAAATAAAATCAGTTTTTATTTATTTTCAAGACTATATATAGTTCCAAAAAAGTGCTGAATAATGAATACAAATTTCAAAGGCAGAGCTGTAATTAATTATTTGTTTTCATTTTAAGAATTGCAAACTCTAATTAGTGATTTTGTTTGGTTGGTTGATTTTTAAATTTTCAAGAAAGGGTTTCTCTATTAACAGCCCTGACTGTCCTAGAACTCACTCCATAGACCATGCTGACATTGAACTCAGAGATCTGCCTGCCTCTGCCTCCCTCCCCAGTGCTGGGATTAAAGGCGAGTGCCACCATGCTGTGCTATTGGATTTTTTATGTTGATATTTTTCCTATCTTAACTTTTCTTGTAGTATGAGTTAAATCCTGGGCCTTACACATGTTACGTAAATGCTATACCACTGAGCTAAGTACCCAGAACATAAGGTTTATATATTTGCAAACTAACATAATTGTTGCCTTCAGTTGTGAAAGGCTGACGGGGCAGTATATTTTTAAACAGAGATGATTGTGTTAACTTCTTGTTTTCACAATGAGAAACTTGCTTTTACACAATGGTAATAAGTCTTTAATCTCTTACTAATAAAATTACCCACAGAAATAATCATTTAAAACTAGCAAAGTACTTAGAATGGAATAAATGCTCCATAGCTATTAGTGGTTAAAATAATTCTTTCCATGTTTACTAGTTGATTCCTTTGAGCTAGGGTCTCACCAAGTTACCCAGCCCTGGCAAACATCCAGGGCTCAATAATTTTATTGTATTCAACCTTTCCGACAAATGTAGGACTCCAGGCTCCCTAATGCTATGATTTCCTCCTATGTAAAATCAGAGTACTAGTGTTTTTTAAGCCAGCAACAATTTCCAGAAGATGGAAAAATTCAAATCTGCTATATTGCAAACAAGCAATCAATACTTTCTACAATTCTTTCTGAAATCTTTCCTTCTTAATTCGCATGCCTCTTTAATGTTTTGGCTGCTAGGCCTACGCAGGGCTCACTTTGGGGTTAAAGGAACTTAAGTGATTGGTGAAGGTTTTGAAAGAAAGCTTCTGGCCAGACAGTGGTGGCGCACACCTTTAATCCCAGCACTTGGGAGGCAGAAGCAGGAGGATCTCTGAGTTCCAGAGCCCTGTCTTGAAAAAAAAGAAAGAACAAGGGAAAGGAAAGGGAAGGAAGGTAGAGATAGGGGGAGGGAGGGAAGGAAGGACAGAAAGAAACAAGAAAGAGAGAGGAAGAAAGGAGAGACAGAAGGAGAAAGAAAAAGAAAGGAAGAGAGGGAGAAGAAGGAAGGAAGAAAAGAGAAGAAAATAAAGCTAGGAAAGGAAGTAAGAGCCACAGGCGCCACCAAAGAAATGGAAAAGGATATACAGGGTGAGAATGGCCTTTCCCTTTTGAGCACAGGACCCAAGGAACTTGTCTCCGCCTGCCTGATACAGCAAATCCTACCTCTTGGAGAGAACACTGGGATTGTAACACAGGGAGCTCATTAGGATTACAACTCCGGCTTGAAAATATTCGTTGAGAAGACTAGTACCATCTTGTGATAGCTCTGATTTCTGAGGGTCCTGTAAAATCAAAGCCTTTACTAAATAAACATCATTATCATCCAATCCAGCAATGTCGCTGAAGTAGAAAGGAAAACACAGATTTTTCAGGTGGTAAACCAATCTGACATGGGAATTTTCAATTCTCTTCAAGTTTTTAGCTTTTAATCTAAGAGACAGACTAAAATGTTATGGAACCAAATTTGAGGATGGCTGAGATAATCTGTTTAGAAATATTTGGAAGGTAGGATTAGGAATATAACTCAGTGGTAAACATGGACTTAGTTCTCAGCACCACAAAAAGAAGACACTTAACAAATGTAGCCGGTTCCAGGACAGCCTCCAAAGCCACAGAGAAACTCTGTCTCAAATACACACACACACACACACACACACACACACACACACACACACACACACGGAATAAAACCAAATGTAGCTAGACTTTTCACATCGTTTCCCAGCACCGTTTCCTGGACACATAAAGAATATAGGCTATTTTACCACGAAGATATTTTTTTTTATTTATTTTTTTTCCACGAAGATATTTTTAATTGAATTATTCCCCATTTCCATAACATATAAATTTGAATTTATCATTCAGCTAGAATCATGATCGTTTCAACAACTTAATTTTTTAGAAGGCTACAATGTTTGAAGCAAATGCACTCACAAGGAGAAAAAGAGCCTTCCCTGTCTTGTTCTGAAGCTATTACATACTTTAGTCCTGCAAGGTTGTGTGGGATGCCTGGTGTGAGGAAATGCATATCTGTCCATTTTTTAGGTATTCCACTTTTCTTTTTTTAATTAAATAGAGCAGAGTTCACAATTAGAAAGACTAACTTTATACTAAGGAGACACCTCTCTCTCTCTCTCTCTCTCTCTCTCTCTCTCTCTCTCTCTCTCTTCACTTTGTTTTGTTTTATTTGAGCCAGGGTCTCACTCTGTAAACTAGGCTAGCCTTGAACTTCTGGAAATCCTCCTACTCTAATCTCCTGAGTGCAGGGATTGCAAATGTGAGCCACCATGCCCAAATATTTGTATTTTGGTTTTGGAGACAGGAGATTATTTGCTCCTGGAGCTTTTCTGTTTTCCAGGCTTACCTACAGCTCACAACAATCCTCTTGCATCAACTTCCCATGTTCTGGGATTGCAAGTGTCTGTCACTATTTTTATTAGTTTATTGTTTTTGATTTTTCAGGTGTTGGTTCATTTTATCTGCAGATAAATATGTGCGTTATGTGCATGTTTGGTGCATGCAGAGGTTTTGAAAAAGAGAAAGGAATCTTATCCCCTAGAACTGGAGTGGCAGGCAGATGGTTTAAGCCACAGTGAATTGAACCCAGATCCCCTGGAAAGGCAGTCAGTGCTCTTAACTGCAGAGCCATCTCTCCAACCCCAGAAAAATACGTATTATTTTCTTTGTTGTAGGTGTGTGTGTGTTCATTTTAAGGTTTATTTTTAATTGTCTGTGTTCTCAAGTACCATTTTTAATATTTGTGTGTGTGTGTGTGTGTGCGCGCGCGCGTGTGCATGTGTATGAGCCTGTGTGAGTTTGTGCACATGTGGATACAGGCACCCACAGAGTCCAGAAGATATCAGACCCCCTGGAGCTGGAGTTCCAGGCTCTTGTGAACCACCTGATGTGGTTCTGGAAATGGAACTTAAATCCTCTGGAAGAATTCCAGATTCTCTTAACCATGGAGCCATCTCTCCACCCCACAGCAGATGTATTCTAAAAAACAAAAGGACGACATCCCACTAACCTGGAAATTACCTACTCAGGGACCCATTCTGTTATAATCACACTTATGTAGTTCAAATAATAAAAACCCAGCAACAGATGTTGGGGCTCAAGCTGAACATCAGAGAAGCAAAGCAGCCAAGCCACCAGAGAGCTCTCACCTCTACCAAGGCTGGGGAGATCCTGTCCTCAATGTGGCTGGAGACTAATTGCCAGAATCAAGTCCCTGCTCATGTCTTATATACTTCTCCAGTGCTGGGATTAACAGCTTACACCACCGCTGCCTGTTCTGTATGGCTGTGGCTAGGTTTGCATTCTGCTATCCAGGAAAGCTATATTAGATCATAAACAATATATCCCTACACACTTACATTTGTCCTTCTTAAAATCTCCTGGTAAAATTGGAGATATAGCATAAAATTTCAACTTTTGAAGACACATCATCAAAAATAGAGAAAGTAGTTGGGCATAGAGGAGCACACCTTTAGCCCCAGCACTCAGGAGGCAGAGGCAGGCAGATCTTTTGAGTTCAAGGCCAGTCTGCTCTACAGAGCGAACTCCAGAAGAGCCAGAGCTACACAAAGAAAACCTATTTTGAAAAACCACCCTTCCCCCCCAAAAAAAAATATAGAGGAAGCTTGATTTGTAAAGATGATTGCATAGTATTTTCCTAAATAAAAGTGTGTTAAGTTGGGATTTGAGATCAGTGATGGGATGATATTATTGGGGTCATCAATGGCAATATCCATTACAAAAAGTTCTTTTCGTGCTGGGCTTGTGGCACATTCCTCTAATACTAGTACTTGGGAAGCAGAGGCATTAATCAAACAAACAACAAAAAGGCCCTTTCTTTAGACTAATTACAAAAGGGCACCTCTCAGGAAGACTAATTCCAAAATGTGTCTTGCCTGAAGCCTGACTATATTGCACGGGTTAGATTGTTCCAGTCTGAACTTCTGCATATTGGGAACCTCTGCTAGAGGTGACCTCCCGAGAGGAAGAGAATGACAGTCAGCAACACTAAAAGCCTTTATCATGTGTTCTATTTTGTTCAGCCATTTTGTGCTACATTGCTCCACTTAAAGGGAGATTTTAAAGGCACTAAGAGAAATTTCGGAGTCTGAAAGACAGCTCAGTGGGTAACGCCCTCAGCAAGCCTGCTGACCAGAATTTGATCTCTCAGGATGCAAGTAAAGGTGGAAAGGGAGAACTATTTCCTCAGAGCTGTCTTGTGACTTCCACATGTGTGTCCCTCTGATTTAGAAAGTTGCCAGATTTGTCACCAGTTGACAGTGACTAATTTCTGCATGCACATTGGTAAACAGAAGAAAAATTTGGGTGAGGCAAATTCCAGAGTTTCCGAAGTATAGAGACAGATTTTTAGAATGTTCATTCATTTGCATTATTAAACCGAATTATGAAGCTTACATTTTTCTAACCTGATTAATGTTATTAGAACGTAAGTGTTACTTTGTTATCCAAGTTCTGTGATGAAAAGTACTGAATTCAAATACCCAAATAGGACAATCTCTAAAAAGCCTTTGGTTTGGTTTTTGGTTTTATTGTTGTTGTTTTGTTTTGTTTTTCAAGACAGGGTTTTTCTGTGGCTTTGGAGGCTGTCCTGAAACTAACTCTTGTAGACCAGGATGGTCTCGAACTCACAGAGATGATCCTGCCTCTACCCCCGAGTGCTGGGATTAAAGGCATGTGCCAGCAACACCAGGCCTAAAAGCCTTCTATGTGTGTCTCCCCCTCCTCCTCTTTCTATAATGCTGAGACTTGTGTGTACAAGGCAAGTTCTCTGCTCCTGACCCATAAACACAGCTCTAATTTCACTTGTTTGTTTTGGTTTGGCTTTTTCAAGACAGGGTTTCTCAGTGTAGCAGCCCTGGCTGTCCTGGAACTCACTCTGTAGACGAGGCTGGCCTCAAATTCACAGAGCTCTTCCTGCCTTCTTTACCTCCTGAGGGCTGGGATTAAAGGTGTGCACCACCACTGCCAAGCTAATTTCACATTTTTTGTTAGTTTTATTTTTAGACATGGTCTCATATTGTTCTCAAGGTGACCATGAACTTGCAATCCTTCTGCTTCACACCATTTCTTTTTTTAGTTAGTGTCTACACCCTTATTCTCAAGCCCTTCCTTCTTGATATAATCTTTCTATGTAGCTCTGGCTAACCTGGAAGTCCCTGTGTACATGCAGCTGGTCCCCAACTTGTGCAGGTCCTCTTATCTGTGCCTCCCAAGTCCTAGGTTTACAAATGTGTGCCACCATGGCCTAGCTTGGTTGTCTCCATTCTTGCTTATTTTCTGCTAATAGTTTGAGTCACCACAGTAAAGCAGTGGGCTGTGTACTGTTGATCCTATTGCCTGGTTAGTACTTAACTATTCTTGATAGTGATCGTCATCTATGCCACCAACGTAACAATTTTGTTTTTTTATTATTGTGTTGCTTTTGATTAGTGAACTACTAAGCTACTACATTATACCACAAAATAGTTCTTTCGGTTGAGTCATAAATCTTTATCCGTGTGCTAAGAATTGTGGTTAAAGAAGGGGAAGTCGTTCAGCATCTCTCAAAGAACAAGCTTCACAGTGGGAAATTAACAGATTTACTGGCGCCTTTGAACCACACTTTTTTTTTTTTTTAACTTGAAGTGGATTCAATGCATGCAGCACTGAACGAGTTTGGCAAGTGTGTGCGATTTAGTAGCAGTATTGTAGCATTGCAAAAACCCAAGCCAATTTCCCACTTAACACTCACCGCCTGTAGAGAACACTGTAGGTGATCGACAGGTAAAAAAGGAAAGGAGTTAAATGTGCTTATTCTTGTGCTTGCTTGAAGATTGTGAATGAACTAAACCATTTTAATTGATAGATTTTTCAAGAGGTAAAGAGCAGTGATATTGCTAAAACCTTCCGCAAAGCCATCAACAGGAAAGAAGGGATTTGTGCTCTGGGAGGAACTTCAGAGTTGTCCAGTGAAGGAACACAGCATTCGTACTCAGGTAATAATGGCATGGGTGTGCTTACATTAATACAGTGCGCTGAGCAGATATATACTGCAGTTCCTTAAAAAGCTTGTTCTTCTAATTAAATATACTAAAGAATAGGCTTGGTGCCGGGCGTTGGTAGCTCATGCCTTTAATTCTAGCACTTGGGAGGCAGAGGCAGGCAGATCCCTGTGAGTTCAAGGCCAGCCTGGTCTACAGAGCAAGTTCCAGGACAGCCTCCAAAGCCACAGAGAAATCCTGTCTTGAAAAAGAAAACAAAATAATAATAATAATAAGAAGAAGAAGAAGCAGCAGCAGCTTGGTGACATAATTGGTCTTGGGTCAGATATTTGCCAGAAAGTCCTGATAGACATGTTGATTATAAGACACATAGTGAAATCTGTGTAATGATAGTCTTTATTACAGTGGAGTTAGGCAGTAATGTAAGTATTTTTTTAATATTTTGTAACTTCCCTAAGGGGTGATTAACCTATTCTTTTGTTCTTACTATGTCATTGATTCCTAAGACACTGTGTTGCTTTAATGTCTGAAGAGTAAAGCCACATACTTGTGATGTCTTATAGCAGAACTGTACAATTGTAGGTTTGGGGACCAAATGATTAGCATTGCTTTAATGAACAGTATGAACTGATTTCTTGTTATTTAACATAATTTTAGAAGAAGAAAAATATGCCTTCGTTAATTGGATAAACAAAGCTCTGGAAAATGATCCCGATTGCAGACACGTTATACCCATGAACCCAAATACTGACGACCTCTTCAAAGCAGTTGGTGATGGAATTGTGCTCTGGTAAGATAGTAGTTTGTCTTGTAACCATATTTGCAAAGATAACCTCCACCGAATGAATATGTCTTCTTATGGATGCTTGGCTGGTTGATGTAAGGAGAGAAAAAAGAGAGGACAATTACCGGAATTTTGTCTTTTTCATCTAATATATGTCTAAAGTTACCTGTAAAGGCAAAATCAGTCAAGAAGTAGAGACCTTTTTATAAGGTAGAATGCTCAGCTTCCAATTTTTCCTCATCACTTAGCAAGTAGAGCATTACAGCGTTGTCAAACTTAAAGTATGTCAGTATCTATTTATTGTGAAGTGCCGTGGCTTCTAAAGAGACAAAAGAAGCTAGCCCTCAGTTCTCGCTCTTCCCTGACCTAATTCTGAAAATGCTTTTGTCAGTGTGGCTGCCGCAGAGCCAGCAGTATCTTGGCAGAAATGATGTAAGATTATCAACACTGTCCATTACTGCCCCTGGCCTCAGAGACAGTGGTCTAAAGTATGCTCCGTAGTAAGTTCTGAGCTGCTGTATTCTTTTTTTGTTCCTTTTGTTCCTTTTTCTCTTTTGGTTTTATCGAGGCAGTCTTTCTTCGTGTATCCTTGGCTCTGTGAAAGAGGCTGGCCTCATGGAGATCCATCTACCCCTGCCTCCCATGTGCTGGCATTAAAGGCATGCACCATCAGGGCCCAGCCTCATTCTGAGTTTCTATGCAAGCCTCAGCGACTGTGTGATTGGAGTCCAGATAATCAAACCCTTTACATTCAAGTTTCCACTATGATCTTCATAGTATCATAAAATTTCAGCATCCCTGATGCAAAACTCCAAAAACTAAAACTGTTTTATTTTTGTTTTTATTAAAATATGGTAATTATACATGACAATGGGTTTCACTAACCTTTTCATATACATGTGTGTGTATATATATGTCATACCCCTACACATTGCCCTTTCCTGTCCTGTCCCTCTCCCTTCTGCTTCCCATCTCACCCACTTCTACTTGTAGTTTTTTTTTTTTTTTCAATGACCCAGTGAGTTTCATCAGGCTTGCTTACAGAAGCAAGGCTTAGAGCACTGGAAATGTTTCAAATTCTGATAATGATGCCACAGTGGAATTCTCCACAGCTAGCTTCAGGTGACAAGTGATAGTCAAAGCATAGGTACTCCCAAAATACTGCATAAAATTACCTTCTGGGCCAGGAGCATACCTCAGTGACAGTGTATGCCTAACATGTTCATGGGGCATGGTGACATATGCCTATAATTCCAGCACTCAGGAGGTGAGGGTACACAGATGTCTGAGTTTGAGGCTAGCCTGATGTATTATATAGTGAGTTCAAGGACAGCTAGGGAGATAGAGATCCTGTCCCAAAAAGAAAAAGAGAAAGAAGAAAAAATAACAACAAAACAACATTAGCACCACAAAAAAGCAAAACTTATATTTAGGTTGTGTGTGTATATGTATGTGTGTGCTTGTATGCATACATACACATATATGTATTCATGGAACATGAATGAAAATGTGCATTCAGACTTGGGTATCCCAGTATGTCATCTGCATTCTGAACATATATAATTTCTTGTGGTCAACATGAGGAAAGTCATCTATTGCATTTGGTATTATTTTCTAATTATGTGTGTGCCTCCATGGGTTTATGTGTACCACACGTGTGCAGGTACCTGTGGAGGACAAAAGATGGCCTAGGATCCCTTGAAACTGGAGTTACAAGCAGAGCTATTCAGTGTGGGTCTGGGAAACAAACCTGGGACCTCTGCAAGAGTAGTAATTGCTCTTAACCATCTCTTCAGCCCAAAATCTATTGCATTTTTGAGATGGTATGAAGGATATTTTATAATAAGCTTTAACATTAGTGAAGATTTACACACCGTTGATTGAGACAGGATCTCCTGCGTCTCCAGCCAGCCTCCAGCTTGCTATGTAGTCCACAATGGCCTTGAACTCCTGGTGCTTCTGCCTCCATGCTCCAGTGCTAGGAATACAAGCTTCTCCATGTTCCAGTTAGGTGGTCCTGGGGGATCGAACCTGTACCTCATGCATGCTAGTCAAGCACTCTACAAAGTGAGATATACATCTCCAAACTCTATCAACTCTGAAAGTCGATCAATTTGTGTTTGTTTGTTTCAGCAAAATGATCAACCTTTCAGTTCCTGACACAATTGATGAGAGAGCCATCAACAAGAAGAAGCTTACACCCTTCATCATTCAGGTGTGACATGCTTCCTGTGCCATCTTCCCTAATAGCGTGGTTTGAATTAGAGGCCATAGCCTCTGTATTCCATGTGCTGTACTTTAATCCTCAGAGCCGCTCTGACTGAGGAATGATCATGGACATTTTATACAATGAGCTGGGACTCAGAAAGGCTTGGGGAGCTTGCTGGATGTCCACAGAGGCACAGATCCTCATTGTACTTAAAGCCCTCTGTTCCTTTTATTGTCTATTGTGTTAAGATATTGCCAAAATAAAAATGACTTAAGCTCTTACTTAGCTGGGATGCTCCAGCGATGGAGTGTTTGTGTTTTTCAGTGAGTGAGGAGTAGACTAGTATAGCAAAGTCCCCTCCGGCAGGAGTGTCACTTGAGATGTGCAGATTGGTCATTTCTAGAACCTGGGTGTATGCCATATGCTGATGGACTTGCCTTTAGGCAATTTTAGAAAAGTGACCCTGTTACTCTGGTTATGTGACGCCTTCCTTTAAAATCAGCAGAATTCAGAGCAATAAAGTAAAAATAAAAACCCTACTTCCAGTAGAATTCTACAAAAATAATAGGAGTGAGGCTGAGATTTGTCTCTTTGATTTTTAAGGCTAAATTCTGTTTTCTCTGACTGGCGGCGGATGAAATGGATAACTCATACTGATTTCTTAGCGTTATTTTCAGTGAAGGCAGAAGTGAACTGGGTGGGGAAAAAAGATCGAGAAGTGTATAATTTGGCTGTCTTGCAGGAAAACTTGAACTTGGCACTGAATTCTGCTTCTGCCATTGGGTGTCATGTTGTGAACATTGGTGCCGAAGATTTGCGGGCTGGGAAACCTCATTTGGTTTTGGGACTGCTCTGGCAGATTATTAAGATTGGCTTGTTCGCTGATATTGAATTGAGCAGGAATGAAGGTAATGGAACACAGTTGTTATTTTGAGAGCTGCTAATTGGTGATTCTTTTCTTTCTCTTGCATTTTACTGAAGTGCGTAAATGATGACTAGAACGAACATGGAACTATTCAGGAACAAAATCCATACACCTCTGTCTTTTAGCTGTTGTGAACATTTGATGACAGTTCATGTAAAGACACGAAAACACATAGAGATTTACACTAGGTGTATACCTCAGTTTCTGTCCACCTTAGATTTTTTTTCCCCCGTTATGTGTGTGTCTGTGTGTGTGTGTGGTTTATGTATATGTTTGTGGGTAAATACATGAGATTTACAAGTGTGTATGCATATGTGAGTGGAGGCAAGAAATCAATGTAGTGTGTCTTCCTAATGCACGTTCCACCCTAGTTTTTGAGACAGGGTCTTCTACTGAACCTCCAGATTTTCAATTTGACTAGACTGGCTGGCCAGCAAACCCCAGGTAACCCTTGTCTTCACCTCCCCAGCATTGGGATTACAGATGCACCCCACTGCACCTAGCTTTTACTCCGATGCTGGGGATCCAAGCTCTGGGTCTCATACTTGCACAGCAAGCAATTTACCAACAAGTACCTTTCTCCAGTCGCAGACTTACTTTTGAGACAAGGTCTGTGACTGAATCTGGACCTCCCCAATTTGGCTGGACTGCTGGTGAGCAAGCCCCAGAGAACGCCCCTGCTCCCTTTCTGCAGCTCTAAGAGTACAGAACTGTGGCTTTTTCATGTGGATGCTGGGGATTGAACTCGGGTCCTTATACTTTCACAGAATGCCCTTTGCTGACTGAGCCATCTCCTCAGCACAGATGCTGACTATCTCAAAGCTACAACTAGTTGGTAGTAGACCTTATATCTCTATTACCAAAAAACAAAGTATCAAAAGACTGAGAGAAACTATGTATGCTGCGATGTGCTTGTAATGTCAGCGTCTGGGGCAGGTTGATCATGAGACTGAAGACAACATGGGTTTGTCTCAAAGAACACTGAGAGGGGAAGGGCATAGCCAATATCACATCACAAATTGACTGAGGGATTTATGTCTACAAGCACTGGCGGCTTTGCTTAGAGACGGGGAGACTTTGGAGGAGCTTATGAAATTGTCTCCGGAGGAGCTTCTGCTAAGATGGGCCAACTTTCATCTGGAAAACTCGGGCTGGCAAAAGATCAACAACTTCAGTGCTGACATCAAGGTAACTGCAAAGAACCAGAGCATTTGGAGATTTATAGTGACTTGGGAGATTTTTTTTTTTTTTTCAGCTTAACAGAGAAAAGGATCCTAGGATATCACCAAGCCTTGCAGCCTCTTGTTTTTTGAGACAGTCTTGCTTATGTAGCCCAGGCTGTCCTGACATCACTGCTGTAGACAAGGATGACCTCAAGCTTACTGTGATTCTGTTTCTACCTCTTAGGTGCTGACTTTCAGACACATGCCACCATAGCTAGATGATTCTTTTTTCTTATTTTTGTATCTGTTGTTTCAAGCAGCCTGTATTTCGAGCTGGCCTCAAATCTCAGTAGTTGAGGATGATATGAATTGCCTTACACAATTTTGTGAGGTGTTCAGGATTTAACCTAGAGTTTCATGAATGCCAGGCAAGCACTATAGTTACTAAGTCCAATTTGGTTTTTTCAGATATGATTTTACTTTGTAGTCCAGGTCAGGCTACAGCTCTCTGTGTTGGTCAGGCTGGCCTCCAATTTGCAATCTTCCCGCATCTGCCTAAAGAATATATGCAGGCATATGCCAATGTGCCTTGTCAGTGGATATTATTTTTTTAATGAAGCCCGCTTTGAATATTTTTGAAAAGCAAAAAATTCTTGCATTTGCCAATCAGGTAAAGCCTTAACCTCATCCCCCAGGGAAAGGGGGAGAAATGAGCATGTTTTGTTATATGAATTCCAATCCTATAAGGTTAAATGTTATTTTACCAACTATACATGTTTCTCATTTGGGACTTTCTGTCAGTCCCACTTTTGATTATATAATTAACACAGCAGATGTTGACTCCATAAGTTGATATATCTCATGCTTTGGAATGCTACATAATGTGTTTATTTTCTCTTTCCCTATGCTTCCTGGATTTCTGTTCTCCTATTTCATGCTTGTTCTATCTGTCCAGCTTTTTGACTTCAGTAATTCAGTGAAGGTACAGAAACACTTACTAGCTTTATTGTAGTGATGGCATCAATGCATTGGGAAGCCTTAACAAAGATAAGTTCAAGACAGATGGGCTTGTCTCGGTAAAGATCTCTCAAATAAGGAGGCAGAGAAGGGTGCCATATCTCTTTGCACAATCTAATCCGATCAATTGTTCTTGTCAACATGAGATAGTAAGATGCAGTTCCACTCTGTAAGTGTGATCACACTGATATTTTCAATTCTTTCGTAGGATTCCAAAGCCTATTTCCATCTGCTCAATCAGATTGCGCCAAAGGGACAGAAGGAAGGTGAACCACGGATAGACATTAACATGTCAGGGTTCAATGTAAGTATAGGTGTTCTTTCAAATTCTACAGGCTTATACTAGTGTTGTGTCTTGCTTGTTTTCTTTCTTTCTGTTGAGACAAGGTCTTGCTATGTAGCCCTAGCTGGGCTAGAACTTGCTATGTAGAGCAGACTGGTGTCAGCCTCCTGGAGATTCCCCTGCCTCTGCTTTTTGAGAGCTGGGATTAAAGGCATGTGCTGCCACATCCAAATAACTTTCTGTAAATTCAATCAAAATTTCCATGTAACTTCATGTAGTGGTGTTGACACTTTTAAGATTGTTTTAAAAGGATGTGGTACATGTGACTCACAGGAGACAAACTGTCCTGATTTATTTAGATAATCTGTGAATTTAATAATTATGGTAGTACTGGATTTTATGAATGACATACAATATTCAAAGTGAGTATAGGGAAATCCATACTCTGGCTTATTCACTGTGAGTAGAGTAAAGGGCTAGTCTATGCAGTCTAGACTAGAATATCTGTGATAGCCTGACCTCTCTTGAAATACAATCAATCAAGATGAACCATCATACCAGCATATCCTCCGTTTGATTGTTGCTACTACATTCCTTTGTGTCTTGCCCCAATATTCATCCAGGATTTCCCCCACTGGCTCTAAAATTTGTTCTAAATTGACCTGCTTAGGTTTTAGTTTCTACAAAATATTATCCATTTCTTTTCATCTGTCCCCACACACCTCTCTTTATCCCTTTGTGCAGTTATTCTTCTCCAGAGACCCTACTTTTTATTTTATTTAATTTTGGCTTTTTGACACACAATTTTTCTGTGTAACCTTGGCTGTGCTGGAACTTGTTCTGTAGACCAGGCTGACCTCAAAGTCATGGAGATTCACCTGCCTTTGCCTCCCAAGTGTTGAGATTAAAGGTGCATGCCACCACCACCTAGCCCAAACATCGCTTTTAACGCCAAGGCTGTCCTTGCTTGTTTTTTTCAGGTATGTTTCTTTAAGTGAAAATTAAGGGTCTGGAGAGGTGGCTCAGCTGTTAAGAATGTTTGCCACTCTTGCTGAAACCATAGTGATGTTCCCACCAACCACTTCAAGTAGCTCACAACAACCTGTAACTTCAGAGCCAGGGGACCCAAGTGCCCTCTTCTGCATGCTCAGGCACATGGGGGTGAAAGAGACTTTTTTTAAAAGATTTATTTTATTACGTATATAGTGTTCTGCCTGCATGTATGCCGGCAATGCATGCCACAAGAGGGCACCAAAACTCATGATACATGGTTGTGAGTCTTTGAAGAGATTCTAAAAAAAGAAAGAAAACTTTCTGAAAACAAAAGGTTTTTATGAAACTATCCACATTGAAAGTTAAATCTTCTAGGGAACATGGCTGAAAAGATGAATAACAGCTTTTTTTTTCCTCCTCTGCATTTTGGCATGATAACCCCAGTGTACTGCTTTACTCATTCTTTAGACATGTGTTCTGGCGCCATCTCGAGGGATGTACAAGTACTACAAATCCTGTGCCTCCTGCTTTTGCATTCAAAACTATTATATAATAAGTACCATGTGTTAGCTGAAAGAAAGTACAATCTGTTACCCAGCCTATGATTATAGGGGCAATTTATATATACTTTTTAAGTGGCCTTTAAAAGATGTTTTCTTTTACTTCAACAGGAAACAGATGATTTGAAGAGAGCCGAAAGTATGCTTCAACAAGCAGATAAATTAGGTTGCAGACAGTTTGTTACCCCTGCTGATGTCGTCAGTGGAAACCCCAAACTGAACTTAGCCTTTGTAGCTAACCTCTTTAATAAATACCCAGCACTCACTAAACCTGAAAACCAGGACATTGACTGGACTCTACTAGAAGGTAACTTCAAAGTTTCTGTGATTCTAATGCAGAATCTGAGACATAAAAACACAGAGGCCACAATGATATGATTCCAACACAGTGAGTTGCTTTATCCATTTGGCCTTTGCAAGAATCTGCTAAAAGCAGGCGCAGTCCTGAATGAGAACTGGAAACTGCTGGATGGTGATGGAAACAAAATTGCAAATAAAGTAGTTGAGTTGGGGATTGTGACTCAGTGCCAGAACTCTTCTCCAGCACAGCCAGGATTAGAAAAGAAAACAACAGTCCAGGTCCTATCATGAGACCAATTAGTAAACAAATGTTTTGTTTTGATGTTTAGTTATATATATTGGTAAGGCAGGTTTTGTTTGAGTTTTACTAACCTATTTATTTTGAGAAAAAGGTCTTAGGTTTTTGTTTGTTTGTTTGAAGGTTTTATTTTTTAACCTAGTCATCTATAGAGTCAAGCTTTTCATGTGCCTCAGGATGACCTCAAATTCACTATGTAATAAAGAATGAACCTCTCAGTTCCTTGTGGTTGTGCTGTTAATGGTAAAGTCAAATACTTTCAATGCTAAAGGCTCAGAAATCTTTCTTAAAATGATTTCATGTCCTGTGCAAGTGTTTTCTACAATCTGCATAAGCAGCACTTTATAAAACTTGTTTTTGCTTCAATTGTACATAGTGTTTTTTTTTTTTTAAAGAAATATATAGTATTTTTATTTAAGTACTTCCAAACTTGAAATCATCTGTGTGAAGCATTGTAAACGATGCATTTCTTTTTTGAGTATTTCACAGTTGTACAAAGATTCTTGGAGGTTCTATTTTTTCTGCTGTTACTGATAAGCATGTAACACTGGCTTTATCCTACATATAGTTGGCATTTCAAATAAATGACTTCTATAGAAAAGAAAAAAAAAAAGAATTAGGCTAAGTTTCTGATCCTCCAGCATCCAAGTGCTGGGATTACAGGTATCACATGAAGTTTTAAGGGTGCTAAGGTTTAAACCCAGAACTTCATGTGCTCTAGGCAAGCATTCTGCAAACTGAACTACCTTCCCCAGAGCTTTGGAAGTGGATCTGAGACAGTGTCTCACCCTGTACCTGAAACACACTCTGTAGTAGCTTCAGACTGACCTTGAACTCCTAGTGGTCCTCTTTCTTCAGCCTTATGAGGGCTGATATTATAGACATGAGCCACCAGGTATAACTAGATCATCCTGTTAAGCCTCTAACTAGAAAGACACAAATACATGGTGAATTTAACCTGTTTTAGGAATTGTATTTCAGTTATCCATAGTCAGAGTGGCATACTAACATGTGACAATTATTAGATCACAAGAAAGCACATAAAATAGATAAATACATGCACTGGTCCTATCTGTATACAAGACACTTAATGAATGAATACATTTTGTGGCTGTTTTAATAGGAGAAACTCGGGAAGAAAGAACCTTTCGTAACTGGATGAACTCTCTTGGTGTTAACCCTCATGTAAACCATCTCTATGCGTAAGCTATCCTACTGCTACTATGAAGTTATGAATGTTATGAATGGATTTAGCATAAATAATGACATCTCTGTAGCAAGTATTCATATTACAAAGCATTAGTGATTGCCATCATCATTCCCTAATACACAAAAACCCAAATTCTTTCTTTACCTGATCATTGGCTGTAAATGATAGAATATGTAAATGTACTGATGGTATCTAGGGAACAGGTACTTTAAATTTCTTAAATAGTCTGGGGATATTCATAGCAGACATCCCATGAGTCCCTACAACCTTTGGCTTCCTGGATGGACTGTCCTTTGCTGATGTGTAATGGTTTGAAGCCTAGCTATATTTCCTATCTTCACTATTTTCCTACCATTTGCCATTCACTGCCTACTAAGTCTAATATTAGTTTTGGTCATTGCGTTTACATATATACCAAAATCATATCATTGTTATCCACATAGTTGTTCATTATATGTTTTTCTGACTTTCATGTAGGGCTCTGAGATTTAATGCAGTGTCCTCATCATTTATAACAGCTTTTGCTTATAATAACATGTGTCCTTTCCTCATCTTCATTATTATTATTTTTTTTTTTATTTTTCTAAACAGAGTTTCTCTGTGTAGACCAGGCTGGCCTCAATGTAGATCAGGCTGGCCTCAAACTTACAAAGATCTTCCTGTCTCTGCCTCCTGAGGGCTGGGATTAAAGGCGTGGGCCACCACTGGCCAGCCCTTATTACTTTATTTTAAGGCAGGACAGGATGTCACTCTGTAGACCTGGCTGACCTAGAATTGTTTATATAAACCAGGCTGGCCTCTCTGTCACAGAGATCACACTGCTTTGCCCTCCCAAGCCTAGGATTAAAGGTGGGTGCCACTTTGCCTAGCTGTGCTCACAGACTTTGAAGTGAATTGAGTGGTCTTGGGTCTATTTTCAGCACAGACTAATTTAGAAAAGTATGAGTCATAGGTATTGTGACTTAGAGATATTGTTTGAGTTGTGTTACTGCTTATAAGCACTGATGATGTTGTGTTTTGAATTGTTAGTGACCTGCAAGATGCCCTGGTCATCTTACAGCTGTATGAACGAATTAAAGTTCCTGTGGACTGGAGTAAAGTTAACAAGCCTCCATACCCAAAGCTGGGAGCCAACATGAAAAAGGTAGCAAATTTGGCATCTGCTTCATTTCTTTCTTTTGTTTTAAAACCTATGGGCCCTAAGCTGCTTCTTGAGGATAGGAACTACCTCTTGGTTTTGGGCAGACACCTACCATTACAAAACACATGTGTGTGTGTGTGGGGGGCTCATGTATATTGAACAAATGACAATCTTAACCATTCATTTACTTTTGTACATTTGCAGTTAGAAAACTGCAACTATGCAGTTGAGTTAGGGAAGCATCCAGCTAAATTCTCCCTGGTTGGCATTGGAGGACAAGACCTGAATGATGGGAACCCAACCTTGACGTTGGCTTTAGTCTGGCAGCTGATGAGAAGGTATTATGTACAGTGTTGATCACTGAAGTTTCTCAGTAATATGGGTCTAGGAATTCACCCTTAGTATATTTTCATGGGCTTAAATTAATCATTTAGTTCAATAAATATACTTTGAGCTTATTGTACTTAGACTCTGAAATGAGTTTTCCATGATTATATGTTGGATCATTACTAAACGATACTTCCTTGTGTATTAGTTAGAACTGTATTTGTTGCCAATCTTTCACAGAAGTCTGATATGTAGCTTTAAGCCTGATGCAGTGTCACTGAGTAACATTGACAGACGGGCTGCAGCTCCAGCTCAGTAGTCCGGGATGCTCTGGCTCAGTACTCCAGGATGCTCTAGCTCAGTAGCTCAGCATGCATGGAAACTATCCATAGACCCCAAAACAAATAAGAAAAAGTTAGAATGGTGGCTCTTACTAGAAATCTCAGCACCTAGGAGTTTGAGGAGGGGACTGGCTATTTGAAGGTAGTTTGTGCTACATAGGGACATCTTGAACTATAGAGAAAGACCTTGCCCAAAAGGAACAAACCAAAACAAAATATCAGAATATATATATATATATATATATATATATATATATATATATCCATTTGAAAATGAAGATCTGGGCCAGCAGGATGCCTCAATGGTTAAAATTACTTGTTCCCAGCTTGACGACCTGAGTTCTGTCCCTGAAACCTGTGTGGTGAACCATCTCCTCCAAGTTGTTCTGTGACTTCCATAGGTGTCCTGTGGCATATCTGTGTCCATATAAACATAATAACTATAATTTTATACGTTTTTAAGAAATTGAAGAATTTATTTTGATGTATTTTTAATATTGGTATATATGAACTTTAATAATATCCAATCCCACTTGTAGCCCCTGCAACTCCTGCTGGATCCCCCCCCCCACTTCACCTGCCCACTTCAATGCTTTTTTTTTATAACCCACTGAGTCCAATTAATGCTGTCCATATAGTGTGGGAAAATCCATTTGCAACATGTGCCCCTATTAGGAGCCATGATAAAACTGTCATAAGCTACCAATGATCCTGTGTGGGTATCGTGCAGGCAACCACAGCCACTGTGAATTCATGGGTTCAACAGCCCTGTCATGGCCAAATGATGCTGTTTCCCAGCACTTCTTTCTGAGTTCTGGCCCTTGCACTCTTCCTACCCACTCAAAAAATGAATATCTCTTACCAATACCACCAAAAGCATTCATCATGCCTAGGTACCAGCCAAAGCATAGTGTATGACGTGCATGTGTGTGAGTGAGTATGGGAAGGCTTATGCCACTGTCTCAGATGAAGGTCAGAAAAACTATTAGGAACCAGTTATTTTTTCATCCATTGTAGCATCTGGGAATCAAATTCAAGTGGTCAAACATGTGCATCAAGCTACTTTACCCACTGAGCCCGTCTTGTCAACCCCATGAAATCTGTGTGATAAAACTGTACATGAGACTTTTAGCTTTTTTTATTTTTAGTTTTTAGAGTTTCTGTGTAGTTGTGGATCCTGTCCTAGAACCAGCTATTGTAGACAAGGCTAGTCTTGAACTTACAGAGATCCCCCTGCCTGTCTCCCAAGAGCTGGAGTTAACGGCATGCACCACCACTGCCTGGGAAGACATATTTCTGAAGCAAGCATTTTTTTTTCACAGAATAGATTGTGACTTTTTTCTGCCGATTCTCTTAGATATACCCTTAATGTTCTGGAAGATCTTGGAGAAGGTCAGAAAGCAAATGATGACATCATTGTAAACTGGGTGAACAGAACATTGAGTGAAGCTGGAAAGTCAACTTCTATTCAGAGTTTTAAGGTCAGTATACTGATTATTATATATCCTGTTTGCTAGATAACAGAAGTTGCTTTAAGGACAACCTTGGGTTTCTTTGTAAGAACTGTTCTTGCACTAATGGCAAGATTTCCCTTCCCTTGGTCAGGCTTATATAAAGAAGCACATGTTTATTTCTCATTACTAAAATTCTTAGATTTGTTCCCTTCTTTTCTAATAGGACAAGACGATCAGCTCCAGTCTGGCAGTTGTGGATTTAATTGATGCCATCCAGCCAGGCTGCATTAACTATGACCTTGTTAAGAGCGGGAATCTTACAGAAGAAGACAAGCACAATAATGCCAAGTAAGGGCAAACACTCGTTGTCATACAAAGAGCACTGGTGTTACAGCCAGGCAGATGCTCTATTCAGGTTCTCCCTGGATAGTGATGGCATCTGGGAAAGATCTCTTTACTTTTAACGGTTTTATTTGGATCCAGTTCACAGACATCCAATTGACTTATACAATGTAATGGTTTTGGCAATATTCACAGTATTATATGACAATCATCGCAATCGATGTTAAAACACTTAAGAGACAACAAGAGAGCCTTCCTGAGCAACACTAGTCACTGTCACTGTCACTGCCCTTTACTTCCGAGCACCCAGCAAACAACATAGTTCCTAGCTCTGTATTTGCCTATTCTTCTTAACTGTTTTATCTCTCCATTATTTAACATCGATTATATATCACTTTCACCAACATCTTCCCTTTGTACCCCTCAACCTAACTACCTAAGCCTCTGTCCTTAAGTGAGAATAACTTTGTGGAGCCCACTTAAGACAATGAATGACTATATAGCCTCTATATGAATAAAATCCTATCATTTGCAATAACATGGGTAAATATGGAGATGAAAATTATTTAGAGTAGAAATAATAAAATTTTAATGTCCATAAAGTTTCCTGTTGCAGTATCTTGGAAATGCTTCCTGGATCATTCGGAGTGTGCTCCTTCCTACCTGATCTCCTAACTACACATGTCAGTATTTTCATCTTATGCCTTTCCTAACCTTGCCTGGCAACTCCCTGTGTAGCATGTAGATCCTCACTTCTACCTCTTGCTTTGAAAGTACTTGGTGCATCAACCTAGGCATTTGAGTTTTACTTCTGGTACTTAAGGGGAGGGAACTAGCATATACAAGTCCCTGAGTTCCATCCCCAGCACCACACTCACAAAAGATAACTATCTGTTACCTCATTATACTACACGGAGTATTTCATAATTAATTGTGTGGTCATCCTGGGTAATCACACACACACACACACACACACACACACACACACACACACTTCATTTTTATGTGAAGTTAGTGCAAAATAAATTGTAAAAAATTAGTATAACTTGAGACTGGAGAGCTGGGGGCTCAGCAGTTAAGAGCACATGTTGTTCTTACAGAGGACCTGGGTTCAGTTCCCAGCACCTACAGTGTGGTTCCCAAACATCTATAACTCCATTTCCAGGAGAATGAATGCCCTTTTCTGACATCTTCAGTCACCAGGAACACATGTGGCATCCATATTTGCATAAAGAGAAAACACTCTTGCACATAAAATAAAATAAATAAATCTCATGTTTTTTATTTCCTATAAAGTTGAAAATCAATTCTAAATAAAAATAAAACAGAAAATAAGTGTGGAATTATTAATTGGTACTTTTCTGTTTTCTGAAATAATGTCTCATTGTGGAGTTCTGGCTGCTTTCAAACTTACAGGGACCCTTTGACCTCAACATCTGTCTCCACAGTGCTAGGGTTATAGAATTATAATCATGTGCCACTATGCAGGTTCTCTGATTTGTACTTTCAATACAAAAATTTTGCATCCCAGCCACTAGATTATGTAAAAGGAAATAGATGGTGTTCTTGGGGCTGGAGACATGGGTCAGTGGTTAAGAGCATTCATTGGCTGTTCTTCTAGAGAACCTAGGCTTAGGTCCCAGCACCCACAGGACAGCTCACAGCTTTCATAACTCTAGTTTCAGGGAATCCGACACCCTCACACAGACATACATGCAGGCAAAACACCAAAGCACATAAAATAAATGAGTCCTTTAAAAAAATATTCATAGGTACCCTTGACAAAGAAAAAGCTCATTTTGATTTTTTGTCTCCTCAAAAACTAGGTATGCAGTGTCAATGGCTAGAAGAATTGGAGCCAGAGTATACGCTCTCCCTGAAGACCTTGTGGAAGTGAAACCCAAGATGGTCATGACCGTGTTTGCATGTTTGATGGGCAGGGGGATGAAGAGAGTGTAAAATAACCAATCTGAATAGAACCATCCTTACTCAAAGGTGCATGATTGGCAAGTCAGTTATTCCCAGGTCAAGTGCTCACCGCTTAAAGAATTCTCGGTCACTTAAAGGACTTTTATTTTTGATTAACAAGACTAGCTCATCATGACATCCTTCGGGGGAAAGAGATTTAGAAACAAGCAACTCCTCTTTCCCTTCCAGTTGGATCTGTTCAGCACACCTGAACATGCTCACAGCCGACCTTCTGCTCTCTCCTCCCAGAATACTGCCCTTGACATTTCCTGATGCTGTGTATTACCTCTCTGTGTATCTTTTCACTCTTAGGATGTCCAGCTCTTGTGACTTGCTTAGATAGGTAGATAGCAATAGTATTAGCTTGCCATTTTGCTTTCCAAGTTCTTACTGGAGAACGTGGTCAGATACCATATGGAGATGAGTGTCCTTGCTTACTTTGTAGTGATGAAAATCTGCTCAAGTAACTGGATGTGCAGAATGTACTAGAAGCTTTTCTCATTCTTTTATTTTAAAAATCAGTATCTTTTTACAGTATTCTTTTACATGATTATTTTTTGTACATTTAAGACTATTTTGATTATGATCAACAAGTCTGCTGATTTGCTACTTTTTTAAAGGGAACTTCAAGTAAGTAAAAGAAAAAGCATAAACTATATGGGGTGGGAGGAAAATGGACCCTAAGATTGTATTTCCCCCTCACAGCCAGGATCAAATCAAATTAAATATTTTGTCTTCAAAGAGTCAGTTCGACACATGCTTCTTTGTTTTGAAAACTTTATCACAAAACTCTCTTTTGATCTAAAATGCTGTTGAATATGACCCTTTTGAGGAGAGAGTGAGCTCAGAATTTAGATGGGGACTCAATAAGCAAAGTATACTAAGTGTACAATAGAGTTTTGAGGTTAACACATATGACAAAGCGATGTGGTCACAAAAAAGGGAAAGTATGTGTGTCGGACTTGATGTTCTCTTGCTTTGTCAAGCTTTTTGCTGTAGTTCTCAAGATCATATGTTAATCTAACACTGAAAAGTGATGTAATCTGGTAGCAACATAGTAGTTCAAATAAAGGCATTTGCATAATAATTTATTTTTTCTTTGTTTTGCTTTAAAGGTTTGTTTTTATTCCTATTGTGTGCTGGGGAGGGTGTGCCTACAAAGATGGCATTGGTCCTACACAGAGGGCATTGGTTCCCCTGGATCTGGAGTTACAGGCTGTTGCCACTCACTTGGGGAGGGTGCTGGGTCACAAACTTGGATCCTCTGAAAGAGCAGCAAGAACTCTTACTGACTGAGCCATCTCTCTGGCTCACTGCTTTTGTTTGTTTGTATTTAAAGGTTTATTTACTATGTATACAGTGCTCTGTCTGCATGTATACCTGCAGGCCAGAAGAGGGCACCAGATCTCATTACAGATGGTTGGGAGCCATCATGCCATTGCTGGAAATTGAACTCAGGACCCCTAAAGAGCAATCAGTGCTCTTAACCATGGAGTAACCTCTCCAGCCCACACTGTTTTGTTTTTGAGATAAGTGTCTGTAGCACAATAAATAAAAGACCCAGAGACAGATATTGGAGTTCAAGCTTCAAGCTAAAGATCAGAAAAGCAAAGCAGTAGCCACCAGCTCTTACCTCTACCCCAGCTCATGCCAATCCTTAAACTGCTCCTGACTTCAATGCTCCTCAGATTCATTCAGACTACTATGATCTCCTCAACCATGGCTAGAGACTAACTCTCAGCTGAATGCCAGCTCTGAGACCCTGGTCCTGTCTTATATACCTACCTAATGCTAGGATTAAAGGCATGTGACCCCAGGTGCTAAGATCATCTTTGTATACGCTGCTTATTTTAGGACTGGATCAATTTCATGTAGTCATTGTGGCCTTGAACTAACAGAGATCCATCTACTTCTTAATCCTGAGTCCTGGGATTAAAGTTGTGGATCATCATTGCTTGATCTCTATAGCTTGAGGCTGGTGTTGCTTTCTGAATACTTAGGCAAATTTTAATAAACCATAAATAATATACCATCATAGGTGTCCCTGTATAGCTCAAGATGGTTTTGGACTTGGGTCTTTCCACTTCAGATTCCCTAGCCAATCTTAGGGTAAGCCAGCCCCTAGTTTCCTCTTAGTGCATCTGCCCTGTAGTCATATGCCAATGTTGACTTGCATTTCCTCTTTTTCCTGTTATAGTCTATAAAATCATCCTGAGCATTGCAAGGAATATAGAAGCATCCTGTATTCTCTGCATGCCCAGACCACGCTCCTGATTGTATCCACCAAAAATATACCCAGCAGTGGCCCGTTGTCCCCTGGGATATGAAATGAACCTTAGCTGATAAGCACAGGGTTAGAATGCCATTTTAATGTCTTGTGTAATTTATTAACATGAAGTCCAGTCCTTTTAGAATCTATGTCCATGACAACATTGTAATACAGTTTGAATAAGCATAGCGATGTCCACCTGTTGTTACGACACTTGGGAGGCTGAGGCAAAGGATGGCCATTTCTAAGACAGCCCCAGCAGTGTAGTGAAACCATGTCTTAGAAAGAAAGAAAAAATGAAGGCTGAAGAGATGGCTCAGAGTTTAAGAGTACTGACTGCTCTTCCAGAGGTCCTGAGTTCAATTTCCAGAAACCATCTGTACTGAGATCTGCTGCCCTCTTCTGGCCTGCAGGCATACATGGAGATAGAATGCTTTATACATAATAAATAAATAAATCTTAAAAAAATAAAGAAAGAAAAAATGAAAAGGCTGTGTGGTAGTGTTGACACACGCCTTTAATCCCAGGACTCAGGAGGCAGAGGCACGAGGATCTATGTGAGTTTGAGGGCAGCCTCGTTGACAGAGTGAGTTCTAGCATAGCCAGGGCTACAAAGAGAGACCTTATCTCAAAGTAACAAAAAAAGAAAGAAATTATATGTACTTTCTGAAAGCTTGACAAGGCCTTTCTAAATATATCACAATTTCTAAAGACATAGAATATAAGAATGAAATTTTTGGCAAATCTACTTTAGAGGCAATGAGCTTTTAATTTTTTAATTGTTTTTGGAATTCACTAAATGGGAATCCTAACAGAATGAGTGAAGGTCAGTAAGAGATCCTGCCTCAAAGAATAAATTAATTTGAAACACAAATAGAAAAAAACATTAAACATGCATTACAGTCTAGTATGATGGTACTTACAGGTGGGACATAGCCCAATACATGAGAAACAGAGATTTAATCATAAAAAAGAATGAACCTACTTTGTCTTTACTATAAAATAGCTTTCAAGTCTAAAATGGAGACAGAGGGGTTCAACAGCTGGGGAGATGATTCATCAATTGATAGCTCTTGCCAATCTTGCAGAGGACCAACATGACTTTACCAGCACACAAGTGGCAGCTCCTAAGGGCCTAAAACTCTAGTCCAAACAAAGATATGATGCCTTCTTCTGCTCTCAGTGGGAACTGCATGACTGTGGTATACTTTCCTACATGCAGGCAAAATATCCAACCCCTAACAATAGTTTTAGAAAACTTAAAAAATAATTACACACATATATTTTTATGTGTTTGAGCTTTACCTGAGTGTATACCTGAGCACAGAGTATATGCCTGGTACCCAAAATGGCCAGAAGACCTTGTCATATTCCCTGGGATTGGAGTTACAGACAGAGCTGTGAGTCACAACGTGGCTGCTGCAAACAGAACCTCAATATTTGGATGAGCATCCAGAGCTCTTAACCACTGAGCCACCTCATGCGATCTCCCACCCCCATCCCACCCCACACACAAAGAGCACATTATAATTATTTATGGTTATTATTGTATTTATTTATTTTTACTTTGGGGGACAGGGTTCTCTGTGTAGTCCTAGCTGTCCTAGAACTCACTCTGTAGATCAAGCTGCCACTGCCTCCTGAGTTCTGGGATTAAAGACATGCACTACCACTGCCCAGCCACACATAATTTTAAATTATTTAGGCAAGGTTTGTGTATCCCAGGCTAGCCTCTAGCTCACTGGGATGCAGTTCAAACTCCTGGTCTTTTCTTTCTCCACCCCTTACATCCTGGAATTGGGGGCAGAGCAAGAGTGGTGTCCGGTGGATCTATTAGTTGCATAGTAACAGTCTCAGGATTGGTGCAACTCTGGACTGGGAGAACCTGTCTGGAGTTGCTTGGTCAACTACAGCTGCTGAAGGTTGCTTGCTATGTCCGGAGGCCATGCGAGGTCCAATGCTACCTACTGCATTCCATTATTATCAGTAAAGTACAGCCAAAGCCCACAACTTGGAGGATATCTGGCAGTTTCTTCCTAGTAATTAGGGCAAGGTGGGGGAGAAAAGATCTCAGTCAGGAGTCTAGACTTTTCTGTGGCCTATCATGGCTGCCAAAGCAGGGTCTAGGCGTTCAATACAGAGCCCTCACAAACTGGAAATTGGAGTTGCAGATGGTTGTGAACCACTTTGTGTTTGCTGGGAATTCAACCTTGGTCCTCTGAAGGAGCAGTCAGTATTCTTCATTGCTGAGCCATCTTTCTAGCTCTCCTAAGCATTCTTTTCTACCAAGGAGAAAGCAAAGGATTTGTGCCATAGGAGTTCCACACACAAGGCTCACTTTGGCAAAGACATTTACGTTGTTGTCAGACCAGGAAATCAACTGGGTGCAAGGCTTTTGACTTGTGAATGGCCCTTACTCCCTAAGGAAAAAGAAAAACAAAGCAGAATCAGGAAAGGGCTTCCACAGAAGAGGGAAGACCTAATATCCCAGCCCAGGGGCCTCTTGGGGAATTCCATCTGGGAGTTGTTTCAAGCTCCTTTGACTTCCCACTTCCTAAGAGGTGTAAATGTGGCCTATCCTTTGCCCCTCCCTCAAGCATCCCCCAGGGGAAATGCAATGAGATTGTTGTGAGATTTCTTGGTGATCTGAAATGCAGAGACACCTGTTTGGCCAGGATAAAGCACCTCATTGATGAAACAAAAATTAAAATTAATAAAAGTTTAAAAACTTGGGCCCTAAATCTATACAGAGAAAGGGAAATTCTAATGGTAAAGGAAAATTTAACTCCTTAAATCAGGAGTGTCATCTCAAAGAAGGGGAGGTGACTGGCCACCACTTATGTCAACATTCCTAAGTCTTCTAATTGCTGGTCATAAAAGTCCCCTGATGGTTGTAAAGATCCCTCAGCCCAGGGAAAAACTGACAGACCCTGTGACCTGGTAACTCTGCAACCCCATGACCTGTCTTATCTTTCTCAAATGTATCTTGCTTAAAATATATACTTTTGTTTTACTCTGTCCTTTGTATGACCTTAAATAGCCATGGAAACTCTGGAATGTGTGGCCTTCAACCTCACGGTCTTCCCCTTTAAAAGCTCCGCTATATGGCTGGTTGGCATCTCATTCCCCCCATCATAGACTGAGATCCAAACAAGCCAGCTTGAACAATAAAGAGAAACCTTTGCGTTTGCATCGAAATTATCTGGCTTCTTGGGTTGGTCCTGGGCTCTGCTAACCTGGCACAACATTATGGGCTCCATTGTCTCCTTCCCACCTTCCCTCATTCTCCTATTTCTACCCAAACAGCCAGGAAATGAGTCAGCAGAGGATAAACAAAACCTGTGAAGTCAGGGCCTTTGGACACAAGGCTGGGCAAGGCAGCCCCCAGGTGGTCATAAGGGGAACCTCAGCCCAGAAAGAACCCTGGGGGGTTGGGAGTGCAGGGAATGCAGGCAGCAAAGCCTGCCCTTATGGTAGCAGGTAAAAGCCAGTTGGTGGGGCTGCTGGTGTGGCTCAGCAGTTAGACCCTGCTTGGCATGTCTGAGCCCCTGGGTTCCATCCCCCAGATCTTTCCTTGGGATTTCAGTGCCCGTACTATCGTGCTTCTGCTATCAAATGGAAACCCCTGAATCAGACAGCCATTAGGAAATCAAATTAAGAAATATGTTACAGAAGCCTGTTTTAATCGAGCCTTTTATCTGAAGGCATTCCCATGGTGTGACTCATTGGGTTTTGCTGATTCCAGAGACAAAGTCCTTGCCCTTGCCCCTGCCCAAGGTCTAGACATAGTAGTAAACACGTGATGGGAATAGTGTCTT